AATTCGTTATAGCGTTAACAAAGATTCTTATAACGAAGTCCTGATCGGCTGGATCAGCAACTTCGTTATATCGAGGTATGACTGTATAATTTTAAAAATTTAATTTTTTTCATAATAATTTATCATATATTTATTTTTAAAATATCACATTTTTTTTGAATTTTTACTTAAAAATATCATAAAATTTATTAATTTTTAAATAAATTATTTTAAAAATGTTTAAAATTATTATAAATAATTTTAATTATTAAATAAAATTGTAGGCAAATTTGCTTGCAAAATATTTGAAAGGGTAAAAAAATATGTAATATTTTTAAACTTTAAATTTAAAAGAAAATTTAAATGTTTTGCAATAGAAAGAAAAGAAACTACCAAAAAAATTTTTTTACTTTATAAGTTAAATCTTATTTTTTTAGTAAAATAAATTTCAGATTTAATATTATTTTAAAAAAAATTCTTTTGGTAATTTTTTTCCCTTTTATTACAAAGTATTTTCTTAAATTATAAAGATTTGTAAATAAATTTACTTTTAATTTACTTATAAATAATAGTAATTTTTAAAAATTTTATTATTATCTTTTGATAATCTTATTAGAATTTATTTATTTATTATAAAAGTATATAATATATAAATTAATTATATAAAATATAAAATTTATTATAAAAAACAATTTTTATAATTTATTAAGAATTTTATGAGTTTTATTAGTAATAAATAATTTAATTAGTTTATAAATATATGAATTTTTTTAAAAAAAAATTATATTTTATAAAATTTGGATTTTAAAATTAAATTATATTAAAAAATTTTTTAAATTAATTTTAATAAAGTTAATATTAAACTATATTTTTATATAATAATTATATATTTATAATTAATATTTTATATTTTATTAAGAAATTAATACTTTTTTATTAAGTTTATATAATATAATATTATTAAATTAACAATCAAAAAATTTTATATTAAAATTTAAGTTAAAATTATTATAAAGAAAACAATTTAAGTTAGTTTAAATAGTCTTTTTTTTTTATGTATAATTAATTATTTTAAATTAAATTAAAATTATTATCAATTTAAAATTTTAAAAATTAATTATGTTTTTATTTTATTTCAAAATACTTAGTGAAATAATAACAAAAACAGTGTTAAAAATATAATTTCTTAAATTATATCAATTTTTTAATATTATTAATGTTTACGTGGTGATAAACTATTAGAAACAAAGGTAACTTTATCCTGATCAAAGAAACAAAGTAATAGTATAATTAAATCGATGAAACAAATTATCTTTGTATTATATAAAGATATGCAGTTATGAATGAACTGTTACAAATTTCGTTCATGATTACTAGCCTTCACTAGAATAAATGTTTCGACGCCTGTTTAGAAGGTAGTCATCACATAACATCATAATCAGTGCCATACAAACATGTTTGAACAATGACCTGTTTTATTTTCAACTATTAATTTCACCTAATAGGCAACTAGTAATGTATTGAATCTTACTTACCATATGGTAAATGAGTCAAGTATTTCTCGTTCTTGATCAGAATGATGTCGCGAGGTCAAACCTTGCGTTGGCCACTTCTTCTGGCTCGTCACAGTTTATTGTTATAGTAAAACTTGTTCAACACAGAAGAAGATAATACTTACATATTTAACTAAAAATCAATAATCCTTTAAACTCGGAAAACGCGCGTATTCTCCATTTTTATCTTTAAGCTATTTTTAAAAGCTTGGTTCGTGATTTTGGAGTGACAAACAGACTTTATTGCTCTATAATGCGAACGTTTCCTAAAACGAATGATAAACATTAGACTTTCTATCTATTACAAGTAGAAAATTGAAAACAAAAGTTGATTTCGTTCAAAGTATTTTATTTTTCAACAATTGCTATTAATAAAAATTTTAAATATAATTAGAATTAAATACTATTTTTATATAATTGCGAGATGTGGAACAAACTTTAGAACTTTAATGGTAATTAAATAATGAAATTGAAAATCCTAGTTTTAACCAAATTAAGAAGTTATATTCTAAACGCTGCGGTAAATATTTAAATAGACATTGTAAATCAAACGGGAATGTGGAAAATAAAAAAAAGGTTAGATCCGTTTAATACCAAACATAGAAGTTGTGGTATAATGTATGTGGTTGGGTTGTCCATAATAAATTTTTATTTTTATTATTCATTTGAAACTTCTTCTTCGTACTATCATAGTACTTTTTTTTTCTTTTTTAGTTTGGTTCGGAGAAGGGGCAATCGTCACCGAAGGGAAAAAAAAAAAAAAATTTGAATGTTAATTTGATAATAAAAAAAGAAAAAATTAGTAAATTAGTTTTGTATTTTCCGGTTATTCGTTCGAGCAGCTTTAACGTTTCATTATAAATATCATAAAAAATTTTAAGTTTATTAAAAAGGAGAAAGGAAGCCTTAATAATATAGTTAAATAAATATGTTTAAAATATATTCAATCTTACCACCACCTATCAATAAGTTTGCGGGTTTTATCCTTTATGGTTTATTATCAGTAGCGTTAATAACGTTAGCACAGGAAGATACTATAGCGAATAACAATTGTAAAGTACCCTTAGAGCCAGTTCCGGTAGAGAATAAGCAAATAACGATAGGATATGTTCGACTGTTTGGCACAGGTCAACCAAAAATACCATGGAATAATTATGATTATATAAATGTTATTGGTAAGAATATGAGAAAACTTTTTTTCCTACATTTTTGTGCATGTTTCGCACAAATAGAATGGATTACTTAAAAAACTACGAATTTGAAACTTAGCATATCCACAAGACGGAGGAGGAGATTGGTATAGTATTTTCCGTCAAGATGAAAACAAATTAAAACCCATAGATGATTTGGTTAAAGATAAAATCAATGCTAATCCATCTACTAAAGTAAGCATTATTATAAAAATATTTAGTATTAAATTATTAATATGATAACTTTTTAATAATTATTATTATAATATAGATTCTTCTTTCAATAAGAGATTATGACGTTGGTACATGGCCGAAAATGCCGAAAATGCCGCAAGAGCAGCAGCAAGAACAGCAGCAAGAACAGCAAGTTGATAGCGAATATCAAAGAATTATTGACGATGCAATTAAAACTATAAAAGTTCATGATTTAGACGGTATAGATATTGAATATCCTGGAATGAGAGGAAGTTTATGTAAAAGTCCTTGGGATAAAAGAAATGATGACAAATTCATTAATTTTTTAAAAGACCTTCGTTTGGCATTGAATGAAACAGGAAGTGATAAAATATTAATGTTAACAGTTGGTAGAGATATAATTGGAAATTTAAAAGATGAAATTGAAAATATTAATTTTCTTAACATAGAAACTTATCATAATAGTTTATATCAAAATTTAAAAACGCCAGACGATAACAACTATAGATCATATCCAAACTCTCCATTAAATGCATACCAAGCTGCATATTTAGCATGGATTGGCGCTGGAATCAATAGTAACAAAATAATTATGGGCGTAGATTTTGGGAACACTATTCAAATGATAGTTGATAATGGCAAAACAATTGAAAAATCTCAAACTGTTAATTTTCAAAAAAATGTTGTTTTTGATGTTAATCGTCTAGGTTTAGAGGCACAAACAAAACGAATCAAATATCCTTGCGGTGATGTTAATGATAATAATCAAATGAAACTATATTCATGGTCATGGAAACATCTTTCAAATTCTACTCTAGATCCAAAATCCGGATATTGTAATATTATTAATAATAATATTCAATTTAATTGGACGCGTAATTTTGACCAGGTTGATGAATCTAAGACACCATGGTTATATAGCGCTTTTAGTCCTGATAATACTCCTAATTATTATTTGTATGTATCTTATGAAGATTTTGTTTCATTAAGTTTGAAGTTAGAATTTGCCAAGAATAATTTAGTCGGAGGAATTTCTATATCTGATGTTACTTTTGATGATGATAAGAACAATTTATTAAATTTTATGCAACCAATACGAGGTAAATCAACAGTTGGAAGTTCATCTCCATCGAATGGGTCAGGTAATGGAAAATCTAAATCAAATCCTAATGATTCAGTTATTCCTAAGAAAAATAAAGCCGGACTTATCGCCGGATCAGTTATTGGAGTTATATTTGGTCTAGCTTTATTTGGAAGTTGCGCGTACATGTATCGTCAAAAAATTCTTCTTAAATCCGAAGCTGGAGATATTAAAACGAAGGGTGCACATACGACTTCAAAGATTGAAATGGCATCCGAACAATCACCGAATCGATTTGGATCACCGACCACTGTTTTACCAGTTGCATCTGGTCATGTCACTGCAATGTTTGATTTCATTGGTAAAGAAGAGAATGATTTAAGTTTCAAGAAAGGTGATGTTATTGAAGTATTGGAAAAGGGTGATGGTCCAAATGATTGGTGGGTTGGAAGGGTAAATGGAATTGTGGGAGAATTTCCTGGTGAGTTTTATAAATTTAAATTTATTTCAATTTTTTTTTTGTTTAATCACGTCTTTATATTAATTGAAATTATCAATCACATAGGTAATTATGTCAAAGAGACATAAAATAATTTAAACAAATCCTTGATTATTAAATATCTATAATTATACGATTCGAACTCTGATCCTCTTATTTATGGATTTATTAAAAAAAAAGAAATATATATATTTATATATAATAATAATAATAATAATAGAAAGATAATCAATGGATTTTTTTTTTTTTCATTTCATTTTTTTTCTTTATGGAAAACTTCTTTTAACTTGTATGTATTATTCCTTGAGAAATCACCTAACTCACTTTTCTAAAATTTAATCATTTTTTTTAATTTATGAAATGATTTACGCGTAATTAGATTTTAGTCATGTGATCTTATCTCGGTCACATGATACCGAAGATGTATTAAAAACAATTTATTCGATTTTTTTTGTAATCGACAATAATTAAAATCATAATTTTTAATCTAATCGGAAAGAAACGGACCAAAATGTTTTTTTTGCTGATGATCTTTTTTTTTTCTTTCAAACAAGAAACACAACAGAAATCTGTTTGAGAAAAAGGAGAGATTTTCAAACAAGATGATTGAAGATGCCAAAAGCAGTTGGATAGACGCCATCTTTCACTCCTAAAATGCGGGTCAAGAGTGCAGATCCTCCTTTTAGCATAAAACGTGGCGTATAACTTTTAGTAGGGAAATACACGGGGAGATTTATGAATAGAGGGCCGAGGAGATAGGAAAACAGCATGATAACATGATCAACAAATGAATTTCCAAAAAGAGTGTAGCGAGGACAAAAGACTGACAAGGGGGTGTTGTTTCTAATTGTTGTGAATAAGAATTTGTCATTGCAGATTTATTTGAAAAACCAATCAATCAATCACAACCGCACACGAAACGTACACACAAACACTAGCACAACACCATCATAAATAAAGAACACCATTGAGTCGCGGAATAAGATTGCCGGGGTACCCCGAAGATTATTCCTTTCTTTAAATTCAATTAAATAGGATTCTGTAACTCTTTTTTGGAATTCCTAAATTCTTTTTTTTTTTTTCATTTTGCTAAATATTTTTTGTAAAAAGGGAAAAAAAAAAAACAAATAAACCACATGACACCGAATGTGTGTGCACATTGCTGTAAACAGTTAAATTACATGCAGCAAATTATAAAATCGATTACAAGGCATGTTCAAATAAATGATTTGCTTTTTTACTCCGTTGTGTTGTTCTGTGTTGCTTTTGTGTGTGTTGTTGCCTTTCTATTGCTTTGTTCTTTTATTTTTTTTATCCTTTTGAGCAAGTAAGGAGGAATAAAGTCAAGTTCTTTGCAAATATGTTTCGGTCTTTCATCTCTCAACCTACCCACCACTTTGCGTTTAACAAGAAACGAACATAAGACAAAAAACAACTTTTTTATTCCGCGAGGGTAAGGGCTGCTGCGGGAACATGAGAGAAGAATACGGAGTTTATTTGGCGGACTTCCGAAATTTTAACCGCAGTAATTTCTAACGAAAAAAACTTTGGGGAAAAGGTTGACTAACAGTACAAAGCTAAATTTTTTTTTTCATTTACAAAGGAGAATAAATACTTTATTATTATTGTCATTTTTTCCTTTACATTTGCTAACTATCACCTTTGGAGATTAAAGCCGCCTTTACGACTTTTTCTCAATTTCACTCAGCCCTTTTTTTTTTTTTCGCCCACAAGCAATTATTTAATAATAATTTAGTTTTTATGTGTGGAGACCAGCCCAACCATATTATCAATATTATCATATTATCGTATAATAAGGGGTCCATCAGCAAATGAAAGTGATAAGCAAGTTTTGTGTCTATACCAAGACATTAGCTATTTGTTGGTATTTGTTCAATGAGTAAAAGATTGCCATATATATAAAATCAAAAAGCGGTGACAAATGAGAACAACAATAAAAAAAAAAAAAAAAAAAGATAAAAAAAAAGCCCAAAAAAAAATTTTTTTTTTTTGTTCTTTTTTTTTCGTATTAGTATTTTATTTATACTATTGAGGGAAAAAAAAAAAATATCTTTCAACAACTCACCATTTATGTATATAGATCCTAACAAGCCTTTTATTCTAACCTTTAATGAGATTAGTAGGATTCTCTTTATGTATATAAATATATATATTACATGTTCGTTGTTTCAAGTACAACCGATAAAATTTTTTTTATTAATAAAAAAAAAAATAAAATATGCAGTTTATGATTGTCAATCAATACATGGTAAGTATATATATATTTTATTTATATATGTTAGTAATGTATTTTTTTTTTATGATGATGATATACAACAATATGAAGTATATATATATTTTTATTTTATCTTTTGTGTTCTTTAATACTGTCTTGTTTGTCTACATTTCCGCATGGCTGTGTCGAGTTTGTTGAACCAATAAATCTACTTTTTATGGAATATGATCGCGAGTTGTATACTTACTATAAACTTAATCCCGTGAATTTATTTATAAACTTATTTTAAAATTATTAATTATGACTTGGTCTTTTTCAAAAACTGTATAAATATCCTTCAAACCCCACTTGCTCCCCGAATTTCCGATTAACGGCCTCGTCCTTTAAAATAATTATCGTTATCTCAAAAAAAAAAAATTTTTTTAGAATCATCAAATCATTATTCATCCAATCAAATCATTTCATCATATTTCTTTTTACTGTTGATTAGTATTTTTTTTTTTTTTTTTTTTCCTTTCCCCACATCGGCTTTTACTAAACACTTGGTCCCGTGATCACAATACAAGTCTGACGTCAAGACTATTACGTAATCACATATAATTACAAATACAGAAAAAAAAAGCATAAATAGGGAGACCCTATAAAACAAAAATAACCTTTTATTTTATTTTTTTTTTTTTTACTCTTTTACGACCTCTTTGTCCTAAACTCTTCAGTGAGGATTAGCCCAATACTACTTACTACTCTTTGTTGTTTATAACTGATTGCTTCTTGTTTTCCCTTTCATTGAGTATTTTCTGTTGTTGTAACTTTTTTCCCAAAAGAGAAACCGAAAAGAAAAAGAAAAAAAAAAGAAAAAGAAAAAGAACGAACGAAACAAAAAATAAAGATTTTTTATACTACCTTTTTTTTTTTTTACCAAACGAAATTTCTATTGTTTACCATGACCCATCAACCTATTCTTCCAAACGGTGATTACCCTTCTTTTGTTCAAGCTGTTGCCGTACCGACGACTCCACTCGGAAATGGAGTCGGAAATGGAGCGTTAATGTATCCTGGCAATAGCATGATGGTCGATGAACAGAGCAGTAGCGTTGCCGATCAAACAAACCAGTCACAACCGCAAAGCGTTGCTGGAATTGTTCCTACATTGCAGTAAGTTGTCGTTCGATGGTTCATGTTTTTGTTTTGAGAGAAGGAAAAAAAAAAATTTGGGGGTTTATTTGTATTTGTTTTTATGTATGCTTTTTCGTAACGTTTTTCTGAAAAAAAAAAAAATTTTTTTGATATAATGATTGTCAAGTGGTTTTTGAGAATGGGAGAGAGTTGTTAGGTGAAATAATTAAGCCAAATTACAATTTTATCTATATTTATATTGATTTTCTCTATCTCTTTTATCTTGTGCTCCCTCTCGTGAAACGTTTTCACGTGACCTTCCTCTTTTAGAAACATCGTCGCCACTGTCAACCTTGATTGTAAACTTGACCTTAAAACCATTGCCCTTCATGCTAGAAATGCAGAATATAATCCAAAGGTACTACCGCATTGCTATGCGTTGGTAGCATAGACAACTGTGGTATATAGAAAAACTATATCAAAGAATATTTATGCTAAACAAAGTTATACAATGATACCACCACTATCAATCACACATATAATATGTTATTAGCGTTTCGCTGCTGTTATCATGCGCATCCGTGAACCCAAGACGACGGCCCTTATTTTTGCTTCTGGCAAGATGGTTGTCACTGGTGCCAAATCTGAAGACGACTCTAAACTTGCCAGCAGAAAATACGCTCGTATCATTCAGAAACTCGGCTTTGCTGCAAAATTCACCGATTTCAAGATTCAAAACATTGTCGGATCTTGTGATGTGAAATTCCCTATTCGTTTGGAAGGATTGGCTTATTCTCACGGTCACTTCAGTAGTGTGAGTATTGAGAGAAAAAAAAAAAGATGATTTTTTTTTTTATGTACAACGCTCGTGATTTCTCACCTCACCTCTTCTCTCGCTTAGTATGAACCGGAATTGTTTCCAGGTCTCATCTATCGTATGGTCAAGCCAAAGATTGTGTTGTTAATATTCGTGTCCGGAAAGATCGTATTAACTGGTGCCAAAGTAAGTGGAACTTAACCTTCAAATGTTTGATGAACGAATGTGTATGGTCTGGTGTACGACGTTTTCAACGACAAACCTTGATCATCCGAACTTGAAACTGATCTGATGTTCATCCACTTCCATTCAAATTTCTTTGCAGGTACGACAGGAAATTTATGATGCGTTTGAATCCATCTATCCTGTATTGACCGAGTTCAGAAAGCCTTAGTTACGTTCGACTCAAGATATCACAATGAAGAGTTGAAAAACGTAGTTGTGTATCGTATGCTTATTGCTTGTTCATGAGACACAATATCTCTTTTATTATTATTATTATTTTATGGCTTTTAAAACTCCCTTTTTTTCTTTTTCCTTTTTTTTTTGAAGTCGAGGGAAAATACAGAGCAATTAGTGAACAAAAAATGATGCAAAATCTATCAAAAATTACTCTTTTCAGACATTACCTTTATTTCTATTCACATATCATAGCGGACTAATTCACTTATGAACATTTGTGTTTAATTTTTTTTTTCCTTTGCAACATTTTATAAAATCATATTGGGGTCTATCGTGTTGTAATAATACACGACGGATTTTTATTCCTCTTTCCTACAAAACTATTTTTTTTTGATTCAATTTATTTCTATATACTTTTTAATTCTTTGCTATATAGCTAATGAATTGGATTGGTGTAATATATATTTCTTTCTTCCTTCCCTAAATAACGCATTTGTACAAATTTTTCTTTTCCCTCTTCCCATCTTTTCCTTTGATTATAATTATTTCTTTTTCTTTTGTTTTTGCTTGTAAGTGTAAGAAAAGAAAGAAGGTATGATTGCGTAATCAATGGGTTTTTTGTTTGTTTGCCATTTTTTCTTTTTTTTTCGTAAATATTTGCTTTATACATATATATTTTATACATAGTAATGCGATATTAATTTGCGAAACAACACAAAAAAAAAAAGTAATCCTATCTAAATAAGGTAGCGAAAAAAAAAAGAAAAAAAAATTTTTTCATCATTTTTTAAAAGTATTATTTTTTATTAGATTAGTTTTCACTTTTTTTTTTTTTTTTTTTTTTTTTTTTTTTTTTTTTTTTTTTTTTTTTTTTTTTTGATAAAAAATTAAAAAAAAAAAAAAATTATTATTAAAATAAAATTAATTAAAAAAAAAAA